ATTTTGTGTCATCGAAGCCTTGAAAAAATTTGACACATGGATTTTCGGTGCCAAAGTGCAGATTGTGTCTGATCACAATCCCCTCACCTACTTGACCCAAAGCGCCCCTCATGGTGCTAAACTGTCTCGTTGGGCCTTAGCGTTACAACGGTATAACATGACTGTGACATACCGCAAAGGAAGTTCACATGGGAATGCTGATGCTTTGTCAAGGTTAGCTGTTAACTCTTTCTCTTTCAATGAACTCTGAGCAACATTGTCTCTACGGTGACGAATGTGCTTCTTGTGGGGGGACTTGTAAAGATCGTGACTTGTAAAGATCATGACTTGTGAAGATCGTGACTTAAAGAGAACGTGAAATATAAATAATAGGACAAGAACTTGCATTTTACGTTGTGGCAACAAGAAGAGGATTCGAAAGATTTTTTATATATTTTGTTTTAGAGAGTTTAAAAGATTTTTTTAGTTTTTTAATAGTTGTAAGAGTTTTAACTGCAGTAGTTAAGAGTTTAAAATTTTGATAGTTTAGAGCTGCAGTATTTATTTTGTTTTTTTTGTTCTGTTTTAAAATTTAAATAAAAGTATTTTGTTTATTCTGAAAAATTAGCTTTATTCTTCCTACAAGATTCAATATTCATTATATTGAAAGAAGGAAAGGATCTTTACTGTGACTGTGCAAACTCTAAATTTAGTGCTATTAGTACTACAGTGAACACTAAACTTTAGTATAGCCTGAACTCTCGCAAACTTTGAACTATAGTGTAGACTGAACTTTTAGAGAACTCTAAATTCTGGCACCATAACTCTACATCCGGTACTCATTGCTTCTTTTTTTGTTTATGTACTCACAGCACACTTACAACCACAAGGATACCAGAAATACACATGACTCCCTTCAGCCCATTCTGTATTTTAGCATTTTACTTTTGTATTAATATCTTACATATGTGTCTCTCGTCATAGGTTTCTTAATATCAATGCATCTTTATGTTCGTATCTGTTAATATTTGTTTGTTTTTGTCTGTACATGTATGTATTCTTGTCTTTGTTTTGTATTTTTTTAATGTATCTGTGTTATTCCAACCGCCATACACACCCACAAAGCTATTGTTACGTAACCATTGTCAAACAATAATCCTCAGCTCCTGTTTGGCCATGTATTAATCTTTAGATCTGTATAATAAATTACCGAGGCAACCTCACGGGGCCCCAGGGATTTGTTGTTCCTCGATAGGGAAGGGCGTGGGACACACGCCTGTTTACCTATGTTAAGCATTAGGCGTCCCCGTCCTCCGTCACCTGTCACCTGCGTCATCGTTTCATTTACGCAATAAACCTACTTCTCCAAGCTATTACAGTTATCTTATCTACCAAAGTTATCACTTATATGCAGTAGGTAACTCTAATATATATATATATATATATATGAAATCTCCATGCGCGGTAAGATAGCTTCCCCGCAAAGCAGGTTTAAGGTTGCCATAAAATGGCAAAGGAAGGCAAAGTTGCTACATTTGGCGAGAAATCGCCCGTTTGGCGATATTTTATAGACGGATGGAGAACCTTCTGGTACGAATTCTTACTGGTTAGCGAAGAATGTTCTCGAACACAAGCCAAAAGCCGTACGCAGAAAGTCAGTTAGTGTCTCGTCTAGAGAGCTGATAGTCAGTAGCGAGTGTCTCAACGTCTAGCGCCGAGCTGGTCGTCGAGTGCATCGAGGGAGACTTTAGTGTATCGCGAGTTAGTGCATCATCGAGTTTTGTCTTAGAGCGTGCTGAGCTACGAGAACGACTGAACCGAGTCGAGAGCTGTACTCTTGTATATCGTCAAGTGCACCGCGAGTTGTAGCGTGGAGAGTCTCGAGAGTACGTAGAGTTCCCAGAACGACCGAGGAGAGTCGGGAGCTGTACTCTAGTGCTTTGCCGCTGGAAAATTTCATGACTTATTCCACAGTTGCTCTGCGGATTTTGCCATCTTTTTCCTGCGATAAATTCACTACTATACGAAGGTCGTTCGCACTTTATGAAAATGGTTTTGATATTTAGTTATTATGCATAAAGGGCGTATTTCTTGCAGCGATTTGCTTCTGCTTTGTTTCTCTATAGCTCCGGCTCGAATTTTTCATGAAAGTTATCTTTTTTTCAGTCCCGCCATGTCAGTTTTATTCCACTCCTCTTGGGTTATTTTCCAAAGTTCGTTCGGTTTTCTATGGATCTTTTAGACCAATCGAAAACACAAAAGTCCATAGGAGAAGCGCCAAGTGATTTTACATGAATTTCATATAATGAGATACATTTTAGTTCTGTTTTTGACTCTTTCTTTGCTAAATAAGCGGAGTTGACTTGAACATTTTATTAGAGGCTGTGTGAAGCTTAACTTTATTGGTGTCTTTCTATATAAGGCTAGAATTTTTTCTTGAAAACCTGGTTCTAAAATATCCTGCTAATAGTACAGTGAATTAATTTAATCTTTACTTGACAGATTTTGAAGTTTTTATTTACCATTTAAACAAAATCTTACCATTATCGTTTGTAACTTTTCGATGCATTGATAAAGCCATTTCATGTGGTCATTTTTGTCAGGTGAGCATCAGAAATTGATTTTTTTTAAAAATTAAATTCACTAAAATATACCCAGGCCTTATCGAATGTTAACACAAAATTTCCAGTTATCAGCAGCTATGTCTTTTTCATGCAATTTTATAGTGTTTGTTTTTCGTTCCGCAATATACTTTGGAAAAAGCGCAGATAAACTTTAGATTTAACCACATTTTTTAACTTTTATTAACAATGCTGTAAATTTTTATGAATGATTTATTTATAGAGTCAGAAAACAAATCCCAATTCCAATGAACGAATCTCTGAATCAGTGTATTTTCTTTCAGGAACAAAGACTTCACTTTCACGCGATATTAACACGCGTTCGAACAGATTTAAGATACGGTTTAGTGAATATTTTTTCGTTTTCAATTTCAGTTAGATGCTCCTTCTCTTTTGAATTTAATGCATTAAAAACATGTTCCTTCGAAATGCAATAACATTGATTTTTACATAGCTTTACAATTTCTTGGTAGAAATATTTTTCCTTGCATCTGCGTAATCTTCGATCTATCTATCAGTTTTAGGAGTCATTTCCAAAATAAATCTGTTATTCTGCATTCCAATCAAAACAAAACAGTAGCAGCCGATTATATTGAAAAGACCAAATATTTATCTCAAAACACTAACGAGAAAATTTAATTAGAAAATCGTTTTCAAAAAGTGCAAATAGCCTTCTGTACTTATCAGTACTACTTCCTGAGAATATTTACTTTAGTCTTATATCACGTATTGTTTATCAGCCTCAATATTTTATGAGCTTCTCTATGAAGCTAACTCATACAGTCCGAAGTTGCTATAAATTAAGGTACTGAGGGCAGCAATTTTTTAAAATTAAGAATCCCATATCATCAAAAATAATTTTTGCAGACATCAATTACTGTAATCTAGTAAAAAAATCCATAATTTTTACACTTAATTTATTACTTTGCATACTTACTGACAAGGTACACTGCAAAGTGATCGGCAGTATTCTTTATAATCTTCCGATAAAGACATGGCGCATTGTTTATCACCTGCAAAAGTATTTTCAGTCAATATTTATATTTAGTAACCGCCCATATTCTTAGTATGCTTTAGCTGTCATTATTGTCATACTTTTAAGGCATAAAATTCATTATCTACGATCACAACTACACTACAGGGTTTAAACCGTAACCAGTCAAAAAAGATAAAATTGCGCATGCATGATGCGCAGTTGACACAACGAAATCATAGATCAAATATGAGTTCGTTTCCTTCATTGTGATTAGTCAGTTCTTACACCAGTTCATAAAGGTATAAACTTTGACAATTAGAACATTTAAGCAAATTCTTTATTATTGTTTCCATATGAGGTCGTAAGATCTGGTGGCTTAACAACAAGAAATTCCGCCTATACCATCTGCAATAATAAAGTCACGTGCGAGGCAAAGGGGGCACAAGCCGAACTTCTAGACAGTCAAGACTAGCTACGTCACACAGAAAATAGCTGCATTTTAGTTCGAACACGAAATTCGGTGTTTGCATTTTAAGTTAATACTCCTAGTCTAATTATCATTATTATTATTGTTGCTACAAATTATATATATATATGTTAATAGTTTAGTGAAATTATACGTAAATTGTACTTCCTCTTGTTAATGTAACATGAAATGCCCCAAAAGGATTGAATACGGTTGCAGTTGTATATAAAGACCGGATATGGTAAAAGTTACATATAGATATTAATTTAGAAGTCAAACATAAAAAATCAGAGTAATATTTGCAAATTTCGTGAAAATTTGCAAATATTACATAGAGTTTATTTGTTTGGTTTCTAAATTAATATTTGTTCGGCGTGTTATTTTACCTTACATATATATAGATATCAATTACAGTTATACAGAGACCCGACCAAAATGTTACTAAACGGTCGCAAAGTTTGGCGACCAAAATTAGTCGCCAAAACCATTGCCAGCTTCATATCTTGCCAAATTAGGGAGATAGCCATTTACTCAATGTTAAATAGACGTGCCCCTGTATTGTTATTTTTCCGGCAGAGCATCCTTTCTCTCGGCTCTTCATGTTACATTATACAGAAAAATTCAACAATTTCACATATAATGTCACTAAAATTACCTATCTTCGTACAAAATTCATTAATAATATATGTGTGTGTCTGTAATGATTTCAGTAGTTCAAGTTCTTTAAGGCACCTAGATAGAATGATATAGATGTGCAGCTATCTTAGATGCATAACGAAGAAAAACTTAGCCAATTTAGAAAGATAGCGATTGACCTCAATGTTTATTAGAATTGCCCATGCAACATTACTTTTACTGGCAAACGTTTACTCTTGAGTCATTTCATGTTATTTTGCACGGGAGATACTACAATTTTACATAAAATTTCATTAAAATTATTTGCATACATATAAAATGTCGATGGTGATTACTTTGAGGATTAGCGGTGAATATTATTTATGACTTTTTCTTTCTGACTGTCTAAAACGGCAAGAACGTTTTTGGTTATCTACCCATTGGACCGTGAGTTACTTTAAAATTACTGTTAGTTACTTTTAAATAAGTAGTTCATTTATAGTTGTAACCTGGATCGTCATGATCGCATAGGGCAATATGGAAATTAGAGGACTGAATTTTTGCCGCAGCATTAGGTTTTAATGGAGAGCTAAGTGTGGTTATGAGGTATGGTTTGGGGCCCGGAGAATGACTTTGAAGAGTCTGTTATAAAATAATAGACGCAGCAAATTCCTAAGTTCGATTTTAGCTGATGAAGTCGGCGTATCGGACTGCGAACCGTATCCTACGTTATAGATGCCGCCACTAACTTAGCTCTCCACTACAAATTACATCAAACATGTATTCGTAAACGAAATCTGAATTTAATTTGTGTTCAGTAAATTAATATTCAGCTTTAAGTAAAATTACTGTAATACGAAGAAAAGTTCATGGTGTGAAAAATAAAAATTACATAACTACAGCTTGATGCGAATATTCTGCAGTAAACACGTATTTTCAGCAGTTGAACATATTTTTGAAAGTAAAATCATTTCCAAACATAATAAATATTACATAATTTTCATAACAATTTTGTAAGAATAAAGATAGCAGCGTTACTTTGAAAAGGTATTACAGGGGAAAAACAAAATCATAAAGTGCCGCGAGTGTTGACTGTGTGCGAAGTTTTGTAGCTGCAAGACAGTTATCACGAAATGTCAATATTTTGAATTTAACAGCTGGTAATTTAACATCAATATTTGAAATTAATGCTTTCAACGAAAGGCTATAAACATGTAATACTAACAATGAAACATCAGCGCTCGTAAAAATGTAAAAGACAGAAAAAGTAAGATCATTCACTCAATAGACAGGGTAAAAAAATTCGTGGGATTCCGTGAACCATAAAGTTATTTTTCGGCTTCACAAAGACGTCAGTGCAAGATTTGTTTCCAAGTGTTTTAGAGTCTGTTTGTACTAGCGGAACTTAAGAACTCAAGAAAAGCGCACGGTTTAGACGGCTTTTAATAGAATTAGTTTCAGGAGCTAAGGAAATATCATTCTTGAAACTTTGAACGGCATTATCACAAAGGCTGTTTATTTATTTTATGCAATAAATGCATAGATACTTTTATCTCAGAAAGAGTGGGTGCCTTACCTCCCTCCCTTAACGGAGCTGTTCAGTTCGCACGCGTTCCTTCGGCTCAAAAATCCGCTACTATAAATAGGCCTTCAGTATTTCTTTGAGCTCTTTAGGCTTCTATAAACAATAATTTTAGATTGGAAAAATCAAAAAATCAGCTCCTTTCCTTCTATTCTTTTCTCTTAGTTACTGAACTCTGTTTTTTCTTCTGTTATTAATTACAAAAGCTATTTCAAATGTAATCAATTTCAGCTAGCAAAAAGGGTTACCGATGGCTGAGTGATGAAATATCTGTACACTGGAATTTTGAAGCCGCCGAGTAGTAAAAGCATTGATAATCCAACCCGGTTTCAAATTCCAGCGAACGGGCTTGCTGCATGCTTGGTGGTTTTGCCATACGTAATGTAGATACCAGCCAGTTTTCCTCAAAATATCTTCCGCGAAAGCATTTTCTTCTTAAGCAGATAGCCTTCGTGTGCTTTGCTATAACCCAAGTATCCCTAACCCTGATAATTATATCCGGGTTCAAATCTCGAAGAAGGATGCTGGCTGTGGGAGTTTTCGTGGTTTTCCTCGTGTGTATAACGTGTGAATGCGCCAGTTTTCTTTGGAAACATCCTTCACAAAAGAATTGTTTCCTATACAGCATATTCGTCTGTTTCGGAGAAACAACTGTTTGAATAAATTTTTCTGTCTGTCATTGAAAGACAGACGGGGGATTTTTCTTCGTCCGCCCACCGGCGACAGAGCAATAAAGTCGCTGAACGGTGGTAGTTCGATCCGAGGTTCAAATCCCGCGAACGGGTTGGCTGCATAGGCATTTTCGTGGTTTTCGTAATGTGTAACTTGTATACGAGCCAATTTACCTTCGACAGCCCTCCACGAAGGCAGATAGCCATCGAGGCTTTGCCGTAATCACATAAACCCAAAATCAAACGTTCCGTAAAAAGTTGAGAATTGTACGTTTTCACTCAATCAGCATCGAAATAAAGAATAATGGAATAGGAGTCCTTTGTTGATAGCTTCTGTGTTTGTATTGAAAATCAATTTTCCCTTTACATGGCAACTCCTAAGTGATCAGTGGCGATTGGCTGTTTTGTATCATGTGGCAAAGCAGAAAAAAAAATTCACTAAACAGTCGTTCTTTCGCAATATTTTGAATGTGCGATAGAGTCTTTAGACGGATGACTCTGGAATGCTTTGCCGTAATTTAAATAATCCCAAACTTTTGCAAAGAAATTCCTTCAACCTTTGCAAAGAAAAGATTGTGCAGCATAAGGTTTTTAATTTATCTTCCAGTTTATAACAATGCAGAGCTTATGACTATGCCAAAGATTTCCGTTTAAAAACAATATATATTTTATACCAATTTGATAGTTTTCGATGATATCAAGTTTATTACAGGCAGCCATTCAGAAAAACTGATTTTCAAAAATTAATCAGTCACTTTGTTGTAGCACATAATATACAAAATTTTAAGTAGAATTAAACCTAAACTGCAATTATGAATTGTATTTCAATTTAGGGTTCGTATTATGCACATTCTGATTTCCTTACCTTTTGTTACTTTGTCCGGGTCATAGGGCATTTCGTCAGAGAAGAGGACGACGTTATCTGTTACATAGCTGTGCTGACAAGTTCTTCGTTGGTGATACATGACGCATTCCACAGTACAGATCTGAAAAATGCAATTTTTATAAAGAAATCAATCGGAAATTATGATTCAAAATAAATATGACATCATAAATTAGTTTGTTAAAATAATAACAACGCTAAATAAAACTCGAAACAATTTGCGACACATGTTAACAGAAATGTTGATTCAGAAGCCGCGATCGCTACGTGGATATGTGATTCTTACATGCAATTTCATTGGCTGTCGCCAATTATGTCTTTGGTGACATTGTATCCCATCATGCGCAATGACTCGCGGTGCAGGCGCCGCAGACATGTACCTGACATTCCGACATGTTTCTCTGTGTAGATCAGTGGTTCGTAACCGGGGGTGCCCGCACCCCTGGGGGTGCGGAAATGTATTTTTTGGGGGGGGGAGAAGCCCCTACCTAACCATAAAATTATTAAATATCATTTATTAAATTTCTTATAATAAAATATTTGAAATCTGCAATAGTGTCCCCAATATTGAAGCTCATAAAAATTGGTAGCACCTAGCTCACTTATCAGCAAAAGACGCAGGAAAGAGCCGGTGCCGATGGGCGTATACACTACGCTACGAAAAGGCATGAAACGCTACAAACGAAAGCAAACAGGCAGCTAGGTGACCAAAGGTCTAACTATTCTAACTTCCTTGTAGGTGACGGAGAAAAGAAAAAAAACTTTGTGGGAATACAAACGGAGTGCGTTATCTCACGTTGCGCATGCGCTGAGTTCAATATGTGCTACTCCAAAGGAATCTACGGATTCACAGATTTGTATCTGCATCTAATGCGCCTGTGTTAGGTTGAGTCAACCATTGTGTCTGCGACATGTGTATTGTGTATTCTGACTTGTCCAGAAACCTATTGAGACTAATACATTCTTAATTGCCCGTTCAAGCCGAATAGGATTCAGTGATATTACAAACGTAAGAACATTATATATATTATATACATTATTTCTAAATAATTAAATCGATTATAGTGAACCCCACTATGTCAGAAAAACGACAATGGAACGATAAGTATGCCGGTTATGGATTTACCTGCACAACCGAAAAAGATGCACGCAACGACCGCAATGCATCTTGTGTTCCAAAATATTTTCAAACAGCAATCTCAAACCATCAAAGTATTAGAGCATTTCAACAATCTGCATGGTGGCGAAAAAGCGCATAGCATGAACAGCTTTGAAGTCAAAAAAAGAAGGCTCGGTTTGATACCAGTGGAACTAACCTAAAATTGTGCGGACCAGCAATTCAAAAACCTTTATTAGAAGCGTTATATCAAGTGGCATATTTATGTGAAAAAAAAAAAAAAGAACCCTCACACGATCGCTGAAGAGTTGATTAAACCTTCTGCTTTAATTATTGCTAAAACAGTTTCAGATTCGGAAGCACATAAAAAAATCTAACAGATTCCATTATCGAATGATATTATACGATCGCGAATACAAGATCTCAGTGAAGATATTTTAATGCAAGTAATTGAAGACATAAAAATCAGTTCGCTATAAATAAGCATGCAACTGGATGAGTCAACTGATGTTGATAATTGTAGCCCCTTTTGGTATTTGTCAGGTATGTGAAGGAAAAAGAGGTGATAGAGATTTTCTATTTTATGAGCCCTGGACGTGAATACGAGAGGAATTGATGTTTTCAATCGCATCAAAGATTTTTTTACTAAATATCAATTACTAATGAATGTGATTGGCTCAATATGCACTGATGCAATGTTAGGCAAAAATTCAGGATTTTTTTCACACATGAAAGAGAATTACAGGAAGTTATAACGCATTGCATGTTGCATCGTCATGCACTTGCATGAAAGCATTGCCAGAAAGTTTAAAACAACATCTAACTACAGCAGTAAATGTAGTAAAATACATCCGAGGGCGAGCGCTTAATCATCGCATTTTTCATGCATTTGTCGAAGAAATCGGTGCTGATCATACCGTGCTCCTATATCACACCGAAAATACGATGGTTATCTAAGGGTCGCATGCTTAAATGAGTTTTTGAATTGCGTGAGGAAATTATTCACTGACTGACTAGTCAAAACTGTTATTTAGTAAAAGATTTTGAAAGTAATGATGCAATGCTGAGGCTGGCCTACTTAGCAGACATATTTAGCCATTTAAATGAATTGAATCTATCAATGCAAGGATTTGGTATAAATATAATAATATCTAGTGAAAAATTATCTTCATTTATCACAAAATTAGAAATTTGGATACGTCGAGTAGAAAAGGGGAATTTTGCAATCTTTTCCTTGCTTAATTCTGTTATTGCAAAAAATGAAAAGAACCAATTATACCCGAATTGTAATACCTTGAGATGATGAGCAAATTTTCAATGGATATTTTTCTACCGGAAATATACCAAACTCAGAGATGGATACTGGATCCATTCTCTTTGACTAAATTTGATGGATGTTAGTGATGTGAAAAAAGATCAACTTATTGAAATGCGAGCATGTGGACATGTTCAAATGGAAATCGAACAATTAGAATTGCAAAAATTCTAGTGTTCACAGTTACAACGTTATCCAGAGTTGGCGAACGGAGCACTGCATATTCTTACCCTTTGCTATCACCTGCTTGTGCGAAATAGGATTTTCATCGCTTTTGCATATAAAAACTAAAGCGAGAAATCGCTTAAATGCAAGTGAGACTTACGCGTATGTCTTTCAAAAAAGGAACCTCGCTTCGCCAATATAATAATGAACAACAACAACAGACTAGTCATTAATAAAAATAATATTGTTTTTGCATTTATATAAAACATACAATGTTTTTCAATAAACAATAAATTTCGCAAAAAAATTTATTTTTCTAGACTAAAAAAATTAAAACACATTTTTCAATGGGGTGCGTAGATGGACTGACGCAGACGCCGAAGTACTTTTCGGAGGTACGCCTCCTTTTGGAGACGGGCTTTAAGAATCAAAGGGGCCGAGGAAAATTAAGACTGCAACGAAAACAATGTTGATAATAAATTCGTTTCTCTAGACTGGATTGTGTCCATGAAGAGAAAAACATGCCTCGAAATGGAGGACTTTAAACTTCTGAAGACCAAAGAGGTCCGGGCTCCAGTGATGACAACGGTGGTGATTTTTGATTTTTTTAAAACTGATTTGGAGACAGAACTTTGTCCTTCCAAGGTAATCTTAGCTTAAGACATTTTATTTTGTGCTGAGCTGATTGATAAAGGACATTTGCATACGTATAGGATAGTGTTTTCATGACGATAACATAGCAAACCGCACTGCCCTGTAGAAGTATAAACTGTTTGAAACTTCTTTCAGATTGAAGGCTAACATTCGATAGAAATATATAGCCATTTTGTCATAGCAGGGAAAATGCAGACAAAATAGCTAAAAGAATTCAGAAGATGCTAAGCACATTTCTGTAGAATGACTGCTAGACAGGTTTTAATTAAATACTAGAACTAGGATCAGTGTATAAATTCAGGAAGAATTATCTTAAAGGAGACGAAAAATTTAATTCTGGCAATTTCTTAAAATGTAGTTGGTCTAATCTGTTTTTTTTTTCTAATTAGCTTCGTTTAATGAGCTAATATTGCTTTACACAAAAACTTCATTGGATCAAAATACTCTCCTTTCAGTACAGAGAAAACATGCTTAACTGCCATACGTCCTTTCTGTCTATACACTGATTTTTCGAGTATAGTGTTTAAGTTACGAGTGATGTCACTGCGAATTTTAACTAAATAAAAATTGTTTAGTGAAGATTAACCCACGTGGTATACTATTTTGAACATCTCAGAACCATTTTCATAGCTCTGTTCTGCTATCATGAGCTCGAAAGCCAGAGCTCAATTTATATAACAATATGTTAAAAAATACTTCAACTTACCCGTGGAGTTAGTTCCATGTTGGATAACGAATGAAAAGGCAGTTTATTATAATCCGTGCAGTTGGATTTGTAAGGTTGCGGAAGCAAGTATACGCTTACCTAACAAAACAAAACATAAAACTTCTTTTAACACTTACAATAAAAAATGTATATTAATTGTAATTGACTTCGAATTATACAGGATTATTCAAAAAGAAAGAGCAGATTTCAAACATTTATTTCTTCCAAACTACAAAAGATAGAAACATGATTCTAACGTTAATGAATAGAGAAAATAGTTTAAAATGGATAGAGAAAAGTTTACAATTCATGGTATGCATTCAATAGCTGCAGTTTGTATGGCTTCATGTGCAGACGATGTTTTAGAACTCGCCACACCGTTGGTTGAGAAATTTTAAGTTCTTTGCTTGCTCGCGATGTGGATTTCTTTGGGCTCCTTTCGTAAAGTGTATGAATACGCTCGACATTCTCGTTCGATGATCTCGTTCTTTTCTCTTTGCAGATACAACTATCTTCTACGAATTTTCGATGCCACTCGTAAATTTGCTTCTGACGCGGTGGTTGTTTATTAAATTGACGGCGAAATGCTCGCTGAAATGCAACAATGGACTCTAGTTTTGCCAATTGTAGAACACAAAAAGACTTCTGCTGTGGTGTCGCTGCCATTTCACTACAGACTATCAACCGACAAATAATACCAGAACAAACAAGAGCGCCAATGCGGCCATGATTGGAACTTTTACCCGTACAAAATTGTACACTTTTCTCTATCCATTAATGTTAGAATCATGTTTCTATCTTTCGTAGTTTGGAAGAAATACATGTTTGCGATCTGCTCTTTCTTTTTTAATAACCCTGTAAAAAAGTCAATTCAGTTCCACAATAATGATTTATGAATTTCATTTGTAAAACTTAGATAATCAAATTTTCTCATGATAATGCTCTCGCGAATATCAGTGCATTTTTTCTGGTGATCACATTGTTCATAATAATCGGTAAAGTCTTCTCGGCATATTATCTAGCTCATCTGTTGGTGGTTCGCTCTGATGATATTATTTTTTCCTTGTAGTATCATTGTGGAAAAAACGAGAATCAGCTGGTATCCTTGCTAACCAGCTGGTTGGGGATTCCGAACATTTCATTGTACAACATCGCGTTTTCTGAAAGTGTTATATTTTTTTTAGGTTTCTATAAAATTCTGTATTATGGAAAGCGACTAAAAATTCCTTTAATATAATTGAATTGCTCAAAAAAAATATATGTATGTATTTTGGGGGTTACAGCAGCGTGTGATAAATGGATATATTTTGAATGCAGAGTGTGATATAAATTGTACGAGGAAGTCACATTTCAGTCATTAACAGATTGATATTTAAAGCTAAAATGAAACAAACAAAGCTTTATGGGGTCCGGGTGAATATGAGACCACCCGGACTTTCACAAAAGCTTTACAGTGATTGCACATGCTTTCATTGAGGTGAACAACCAACACAGGTGATAGCAATGGCCATTCCACCATAAAGCCAGTTTACATTTTGTAAGGATCCTAAGTTTTACTAACGTTTATTTTATTTTAAATCTTTACTATCACTTATTATTTTCTACTTCCGGCCAGAATTAAAAGCTTTAACTTATTTATGCAAATTTGTCTTGCGAACACCAAGTGCTTAAGTTGTGGCTTTTTGCCAAGCAAGAGAGAGGAAGGAGTTACTAGAAGCAGGCCGCTTGCCATAGTAGTTTTACTCGGTTGCTGGTTGCCTTCAAGGCCAGAGGTTTAATCCTCTTGATAATTTTAAACGTATCGTAGTGTTAGGTGTTAGCAGTTCTCTGTATTACATACGGCTTTTTGGTAATATACGGCCAATCTTGGAGTTAGGCACTTGTTTGATTAATCCAAAGTTAGTTTAGTTAGAGTTTAGTTAATATTTTTATATTCTTACGTTCAGACCACAAGTGGTTGGTCTCTGTATTCCGAAGTCCGGAAATCATTGTAAAGAGAGAAAAATAAAGGCTTTCGTATAGCCTTCCTGTGTGTATTGTCTACTTCCCAAATTTATTGAACATAGCTTTAGTAAGCTCCCTGTTCCGAGACAGGACAGTTAAATGTTCCCTAAGCAAATAAGGAGGAACACAGAACATGATAGTGGCGCCCGACGAAGAAGAATAACCATGCCGAGTTTCAAGAAGAACATGTGCTGCCTGCAGAAGCGGCTCAGAATTCAGAAATGCCAGCTGCCGCCCTGTAAGGATTTGGTTACATCGTCCAGACCATGCGCGCATCGATGAAACCAGAAGCAACATTTACCAAAAAAAAAAAAAAAAATACCAACTCACCGGTAACTAGTTTTTTGGAAAAATTGGATGACCACTTCATGCTGTATCCAGTACATGAGTTCCAGAAAGTCACCTTAGCTACCAGCGCTTTGAGGGGCCAAGCGCTTAATTGGTTCAAATGTATAGGCAGAAGCCTCTTGGGTCAAGCGGGAAGTCCCACCTATACTTACGAAAATTTTAAGACTGCCTTAGTAAAAGCCTTCCCTGTCGTAAGGGATCGTGCAAGATTAGAAGCGGAACTCTTCAACATATACCAGAAACAAATTGAAAATCTTTCAAGCTTTATTTTAAGAAAAATTCACGTCTTCAAACTCTTGTATGGAAACCGTCCGGATCCTGAGATAATTCAAGTGATTTTGCTGAGGTTACTTCCCAAGTACAAGACTTTATTGAATTAAGGAATCCGACTACACTGGAAAAGTTATTTGAGCTAGCAATCCAGTTCGAAAGTAGAAGAACGGCGGACATTGAAAGAAGACGCCAGTATGAGCAACGAAGCCAATTTGGTTCGCCAAGATCACAGCAAAGTCAAGAACACGGCTACGGAAGCAAAGCGAATCAGTGGGCAAGGAAACCAGAGTACCCAAAAAGAACCGGCGAACGTCGACAGTTCAATAGCAAGCCAGGAAAAAAGCCTGAAGGCCAGTGGAAAAAAGAAGGAAGGCATGGAAAGGAAGAAGCAAGATTTAAACTAAAACGGATTTCTGCTGACGAGAGGGTGCGGAAATCCGAAGGCCAAGAAAACCCCTCTTCCTTCAAGTTAAATACAGTGATGGTGAAAAATTAGACTCTTCCAAAGCTTGAAGTGTTGGTGAATAACATCCCAGCCACCGCACTCCTGGATACAGGCGCGCAGTGTTCCTTTGTGGCAGAAGAATTTTTTAGGAAGTATTTCCGTAAATACCGCATATATAATTCGGATAATACGACAGTGTTAGCTGCGCAGGAAGAAAGATGCAAATGCATAGGTAAATTACCGTTATACATTCGTATCAAGAACGAGCAAGTAAAGATTATGTTTTTTATCGTAAAAAATTTGCAAGCACATGTCATCTTAGGGATAGATTTTCTTTCAGAGGTAGAAGCAACGCTGGATTTTAACGAAGCGTCCCTTAAGCTGACGATGAAACCAGTTCGAGAAGAAAAAACAGAACCACCAACGTTAAACCTCGACCACCTGCCTAAGGAAGAGCAACAAAAAATTCGACAAGTGGTATGTGAATTTGCTTCATTATTTAGTGATATTCCCGGATTTACTCAAGTTACTAACCATAGTATCGACACCGTAGATTCACTGCCAGTTCGCCACAAACCATACCGATATGATAAGAATAAAGAAAACATTATAGAGTGGCACATTCGAGATATGTTACGTAAAAAGATCATAACGCCCATCTCAAGTAGTTATGCTAGCCCGGTTGTGTTATGTAAGAAAAATAATGACTGTCCGGTAACACATCCAAAAAGGTGGCGTTTTGCAATTGACTATCGTAAATTAAACTCCATGACTAAATATCCGGTATATCCGTTACCTATTATAGAAGAAATTCTAAGGAATATAACTTCTACCAAATACATGACTACTTTAGACTTAATGACTGGTTATTTTCATATAGGGGTTAGACTGGAAGATGTGCCTAAGACTGGTTTTATAACCAAGTCTGGCACTTATGCATTCCTGCGTATGCCGTTTGGCCTTTCAGGGGCACCGGCAACATTTCAGCGATGTATGGACATTGTGCTAAGGCCTGTTCTTGGAAAGTCCACATTTATCTATTTAGACAATATCATTATTACTAGTGATAATCTGGACCAACATGTACAGGATTTAAGACAGGTGATTTCATTATTAAATGAGGCCGGTCTTAAAGTTAATGTCGAAAAGTGCAAATTTGCAGCCCCTGAATTAAAATACTTAGGTTACAAAATATCTCAGAAAGGAATCGAGACAGACGAATCAAAAATAATCGCTGTGCAAAAGTATCCGCCGCCAAATACGGCGAAGAAGCTCTCTTCTTTTCTAGGACTTTGTTCATATTATAGGTCCTTTATAAAAGATTTTGCAGCGCTATTGCTGAACCATTGTTAAAATTAAAAAGGAAAAAGGCAAGATTCTCGTGGACGGCCGAAGCCAATAGTGCTTTCGAAAAATTAAAGCAAGCATTAACGCAAGTCCCCTGTTTTGAAATTTCCTGAAAATGATGAGAATTTAGAAATTTTTCAGCGGATGCTTCGGATTATGCGGTAGGAGCGGTACTTTCGCAAAATCAGCAGCCCGTGGCATTTTTTAGTCGAACTTTAAATGAAACTCAAAAAGCAAAGAATAAATTATTCCGCGACTGAGAGAGAGGCACTTGCAGTTCTGTTAGCAGTGCAAAAGTTCCGAGTCTATTTTGGAAGGCGCCAATAACAGTGTATTCTGATCATGCGGCGTAACTAGAAGTATCATCTAATGCATTGTACTCAGGGAAAAAACTTTATCTCCAAGGTTAATAAGATGGGCACTCAAGTTACAGGAGTACAATTTGGTAATCAAACACACCCCCGGAAAGGAAAATATCGTAGCAGATGCCCTATCCAGAATAAAAATAGATGAAGAAGGTAATACTGTAAAGGTGGCAATGCTCACAGCATGTACAATAAATTCCCGAGAAACTGTAATAACCGAACTGGGTAAGGATCCTGAGTTTAAAACATTTATGAGTATTTAAAGGATCCTGAAAATTTTAGCCACCAAGATATTGTGGCGATAAGAAATAGGGCGG